CGCTCTTCAACTTCCCCACAATCACCTGTTCCGTTCATGGCAGACTGCCTTTCTACTGGTGCCATTTCCGCACTCGCAAGCTAAGCTGCCGTCTGCGTCTTCGTCTGCGATCTACCCTTGCTTCAGGGACGCACGCAGTAGCCGTCTTGGGTGTCATGTTGTCTCTCCAATCTGCATCAACAGCAACCCCTTCGTCCATCCACCAATTGAACCCTTCTCTTACAACCAGGCTCGTGAGCTCTCCCACGTCTGGCCCACTTGCATACAGAAATGCATGCAATGCAAGCCAGAAATCCCCCGATGACGACAGTTTGGCATGGGCATGGATAGACATGGATATGGACATGGACGTGTCTTACTCTTAGCTAGCCTATCTAGCCTGTCCATGTGCCCGCAGAATCAATGGACGCATGAAATCCGAGTCAAGAATCCTTTCAGATCCTCAGAGATCATCTCTCAGGTTTATTACAAAGGACCCTGAAACTGACTAATATAGCAAATAGAAACAATCGTCTCTTTCTCCTATCTCACAAGTTGACAGATGAAACGACTGAAGGGTCCTTTGTACGACCTAAGCTGCGCGATATCCGAGCTTCTCGTGACTCGCAGTACTTCATTTAATACTGCGACGATCATGTAAGGTGTTTGAAACTGTCCAATCCTATCTGGCGCTGTTTATTGATCGCCAATTGCCTCGGTCTCTTCCCGTGATTTGGAGCTGCATGCAGGCAGTGCAACCCCCCTTGAACTTGCTTGAGCAATCAAGGAATGACAGTCGGGGTCTCGGTCTTTGCGATAACGGACCTGTCTGGTTTGATATCAGTTCTCTACTCGCGGCTATGTCAATTGGTACGCGTAGTATCGTACATACAGCAGCGCATTGGCCAAGACTGGCAAGCTGGCTAGGCTGGCTCACTGCTCACTGCTCACTGCTCACTCTCATTCACTGGCATTGGCTCCCTTGAACATTGACGCTCCTCGTCACGTTGACCCGTCCTGCTGGGCACTAACCCCGCGTTGTGAAGTCAAACCCCGCATCTTAAAACAATATGACAGTCAACGCGGTATCAGCGCGTAGCTGTTAAATTCGCATGTTACTCTGCTGTGCTTATGGTGTTTGAGAGGGTGTCTTCTGTGCTCTCACTCATGCAGCCCAGATAGCCTTTCTGAAGTTGACTGTCCAGTGTCCTTCACCCACAGCCCACCCACTCTTTAAACATGGCTCTGACATCGCGAGACTCCGGCGGTGAACATGCTATTTTTTTACGTTGTTGAAATTGCGGCTGGGATCACGAACAAGAAGACATGGAGTAAAATTGAAGCTACAAAGAGGATAATGATCACGAGATGACCGCCATCATGGCAACAATGGAGTCAGCTCTGTGCATTCAAGTTGCTCAGCATACCGCTAAGCAGTATATGGGATAGCCATGAACAGGATATCCTGAGAAGTTGTTTCGATATACTTCTCGAATTCTAACTGCATCCAACATACCTACATAGACTTTGATCTAGCTGGTTTGGAGACCGAGCGCATGGATTTCCAAAGCATCATCACATTGTGACACTATTGAATGCTGAAGAGGATGCAGGTGCATTTATCTACGGTAGATGTCTTCAACTACTCATGCTCATCAAAGCAATGTCACCACCGTGTAAGTCCTTACCCGCACCTCGCATATCGACCCGCATGCCGCAATGCTCCATCTCTCTGCATCGTCAAACAGACCCAGGTCTCGGCCGGTAATACCACTGGACTGACCCGACTCAGAGGACCCATCATCTCGTTGTTTTTATGCCGAGAACAGAGAAGACAGTTGCGCGGTTTTTTGGCAAAGGAGGTGTGGACTGCTGCATGATGGGTTGTACAGCATTCGATGGAGTCTGAGGAGGTGAACTCTCATCTCATTTTCCCTTGCCGCTCTCCCTAGCCGGTTCCTTTCATCCTAAGAAGAGCCGACCGCCCGTGAGATGGCTTGATGTTGATACAACCGCGGGATATGGGTGCCCCTGCTCCAGCCCTTGGGAGAAGCCACATCTACAGATTGAGGAACAAGCATTCTTCGTCATGCAAGATGCACCCTCTATGACGATGACGGTACCGGTCTTGTTGCCGGTTTGAATCTTTGCTTCTGTAGTCAAGTTGCCGATCAGGGACGGGACTTGTCTTGACATGCCCTCCTAGATCTCTGCCAAGAGATTGATTTTCTCCGAAGAGGGCCTGAGCTTTTACAACCTCAGCTACAACTCCCTCGACACGGCGGCTGATGAGGCTGAATACCGACAGAAATTCCTTTGAAAAGTCTAGCGGTCATTCATTAATTACTTGTGCGCCGGAAACTTCCTGGCTTTCCCTGCTCAAGGATGAAGCCATTGTGGGCTCCTGAAAATTTGCTTCCCATCCAGACTTTTCTAGACCAACGGCTTTAAGCTTGCCTTTTTTTCAATTCACTCTTCTCGTCGTTCTCGGTCCGCTAGTGTCGCGATGAGAATTGGCTTGAGTACTTTACGATACCTCCCCAAGCCCAAGGCTTCCTCCACTCACCGACGAATCGTCGGGGCAGAGCTCGTAAAATGCTAACGAAAGTCAATCGTAATTTCTCACCAAGAATGAGGTTCAGCCACAGTCTGACCGCGAATTATGGTCCCGTCAGTGGAGACCTCATCACTTTTTGCAGCTTCCAGCCTTCTCCTTTGAGCTCTTTAACTGTTGTTGAGTCCCGCACCAGCTCGAAGGTTCAAAATTTGGCTTTGCACCCTCTGTCTACCATGTTCCTCCGAGATTTCCCTGTCAACATGGCCGAAACCGTGATGCAATTCACTGCTCAGTGTGTCTTGGCAGGGGCTGGGTTTGAGAAACGTTAATTCCACTGCAGGTACTGTACAGTAACATGCTGTAACAATACTGTACTGTACTGCAGGTATCGGATACGGGCTGAAGTGTCTTGCCAAGAAGGAATTACGCAGAAAGGTGAGATAAGCACAGCTGAACTTGTTTATGCTGCGCCAGGTTGATGATGAAAAGTGAAGATCCGTGACGCCATGAGCCACTCCTGTTGTCACGACGATGCCCAAAAGCTACGTGTATTTCGTGGCAAAGACAACTCTGAGAGTTTCACTTCTCACCTTGCAGAGACGCACATGGAAGATCTCGGGCCTCACGGGTCCCGGGGATCTTCCAACTGCCAACGGACTCTCGAAGGACCGAAAGTCCATGGAGTACGAATGGCGTGTTCCAGCGCATCTGATGGGTTGGTTGGATGAAAGCAGGCACAAGAAAACATAAAAGTTACCTAGCCGACTTGTTTCTGCGACGTGTGAGGTCATGACAACTCAGGTGATCGGCAATCTTGAGTGCCGAGTCAGCGAGTCCAGCTTTTTCCTGTTTGTTTGGCTTTTGCTTTGGTGGTGATGTTTGAGAGGCAGAACCCGGTTCCTCCGAATCATATCCGGCTCGGTTATACTTTCCAGACGGAAATATCTGGATTTATGATCGTTTCGACATATTGTCGTCATGGACGGAAGGGAACCTGAGGGGTTGTCCAGTGGATGAAATCGACAAAAACTGAGATGACAATTCTTTGATACAGGGTAGCCAGCTTTTCAGAAATGCTTCACATCACACATGTAAGGTCATTCACGAAATTGAATTATTTGTGCACCATCGACTAATATCACAATCAATTGAATCATCTCATAAGACCCTGGCGATAGATCTCTTTTGTCTTACGTGAGACTCATGAACAGTTGGACTGTCCAGGGTCCATATTCGTATTACATGAAAGCCATGCTTAGTCTCAAGCTTCTCAAGGCACACGTTCCAAGCAGGGTCAGACACAACTGACTCTGTTGTTCCAGTGAGGTATCAGAGGAGCTTGATGGGGAACAAATTAAGAAACACGTAAAACGTAGTTTCCGACTAATAAATAAATACTACCACGATTATCATTAAACCTATCTCAGATGAAAAGAAGCTTAGTGTTCCTGGACTTTTTACTACAGAGAAACCAAATGGTATATGTATAAAAAGGCTCATACTCTGAGACTTCAGTATAAAAGATACTGACGTCTCGCATGTGAACCTAAAGCTGGAATTCGCGGCGCCTTTGCTTTCGAGTAGCGACTTCATGCTTACAGAGTGAGCCACAATGAAAAGGAATGAGATTCAAATATACCCGGCACAATTACAGCGTCGATTCACATAACTTGGGTGCCTGTAAGATTGGGTGTGTCCTTGAAAGCATAACACCACCAATGTTAAGAGGGAAAGGCCTCAATCAACTTCCGTCAAAATGCGGCACCGGATATCGTCGTTATTGCTAACTTCGTGCCTACAACGAGATAAAGTTCACCAAGAGAAGACGGCTTGAAGTAAAGCGCCGAAACGAATGAACATGCTCAATATTGGTGGTTGTGTGCATGGCAGTCTTAGACAATCTCATGTTGGCACCCTCACCATGAGATACAGCATGCCTGAGAGAACGAGCTTGCACTGATGCACGGCGTTGAAAGATGTCTAGAACAGAACAGGCGAGAGCCCATTCACTCGAAGATCGGTTGCTTCTTAGTGTTGATTCTCTAATTATCAGTAGTTGCCACTTTGTTGTAATGATCATACATACATGATCGACTTGACAGCATCTAAAGTATCATAGTATAGGAAACGATCACTCGAAAAAGAAAGCATTGCAATTGCACTTGATATGGCCTTTAATTGAACTAAAGAAACCCTGATTAACTATACTGGAGTTAGTATTTATGGCTTACTTATTTGTTGTACTAGATACTGACGTAGAGGTTACCAATATCTTTACTTCTCCTAGGCTTAAGCCACATTCAACTAGAGCTTGTACCTACAATCAGGCTCCCCCTCACCAACTGGGCTTCCTTGAGCATCAAGTCATAACTATGACCAGCATCACCAGAATCTGAGCAGTACATCATTGGTACCTTTGACACCTTCGAGTCTTGAGCTCAGTCACACAGACGTCGATCGCGCCATGGCGTCAATGGAAACGCTCCCGATTGAGGCAATCTACAACATTGCAGACCTCGTCATAGAAGAGGCATTTGATGAGAACATCTTCGCAAAAACACAATTGGCTCTGGCGCAAACAAACCACCATTTCTATGATATCGTCAACCCTCGACTTCGTGCAGCAAGCTATTGCTGGGCAGCTCGAGAGGGAAGAATAGATATCCTCAAGAAAGCACATGAGAATGGCGCGAATCTAAGCGGGACTGGGACGATGAGGCCTGAAGAAAGAGCAACGCCTTTGCACTATGCCATCAAGCATGGGCATCGTGATATCGTCGAGTACCTCGCTGACATTGGCGTGGATCCCCATGTGCCAGCCAGAGGAGTCTGCGACTGTTGGAGCGATACAGAGCCTGTAAGGCCCTATGCCCTTCATATGGCCATTCGACATAGTGATTTCGAAGGAGCTGAGAAAATACTTGTCCAGAAGCTAGGAGCATATTGGACATTCCAGGGAACATCTGCTTTGGAGCATGTTGACCCTCACGATGTCAATGATAGGGAAACCATAGACTTGCTCGTTAAGCTGCCCGGACCAAGACATGCCGCTGATGCATTACGATACGCTCTCAAGTGGAACGAGCCTGAGCTTGTAAACCGTCTGCTCGAGAGGTCTGATATGGATGCTTCTGTGCCTGATTCTGATGGCCAAACTCCTCTATTCTGGGCGATTCAGTACAAACGAGTTGATATGGTTAAGTTACTGCTCCAGCGTCAAGAGGTCAATCCCGGTACACCTGACAGGAACGGCTTCACTGCCTTGCAGGTGGCTGTTGGCGTGAGAAGTTTACCACTTGTCGAATTGCTCCTCCAACGGGAAGAAGTCAATGCTCGCAGGACTGACGCAGGGAACTCCGGTGCCCTCCACATTGCTGCCGCGCGTGGAGAACTACAGATCGCGAATCTCCTCTTAGAGAAAAACGGTCTTGATGTAGCATCTCCTGATTCAACGGGGAACACTCCCCTACACTGGGCTGTCAGAAGTCGCGATAAACAATACCATCCGAGTTTGGTTCCGATATACGATGATGATAACAAGAACGACGACGATGAAGACGATGACGATAGTTTTACTTTTGATGAACCACCTGGGTACAGAGAAGAAAGCCTCGACATCATCAAACGATTACTAGCCAGACAAGAGGTCAACGCAGGAGGACAAGATCAAGATGGGCTCACCCCTTTACACCACGCTTGCTTGATAGCAGATTACGAAGTTGCGGAGCTCTTACTTCAACGTCAAGATGTTGACCCCAAAGCTCGAGCTATGAATGGACAGACACCTCTCCATCTCGCAGCATCGAGTCACCAGCTAAGTGCAAAGAGGTTAATGGATTTGCTTCTCAAACAACCGGGTGTTGAGATAACCGAGGTCGATCACGATGGTCGGACTGTCCTACACTACCTCTGTGGCGGGTATGATAAAGAGTACCCAGTCCTCGATCTGATCGAGACCGTGCTTGAAGCAGGCGTCCCGCTTGACCAGGAATCTGCGACGGGGTTGACGGCTTTCCATCAAGCACTCTGCAGCGGGTATTGGAGTGTCGCTCTGTTTCTTCTCGACCGTGGTGCAGATCCCATGGTTTCGAAGCGTTTCAAGTACAACAACAGCCTGCTGCATATCATCTTGAAGCATTCTGACAACGACGATGGAAAGTGCGAACTAATCGAGAGGCTCATCGAGAAAGGCATTGAAGTCGATACTTACACTGACTCGCCTGTTTTCGATCCCCGGTTCAACGAGGACGACAAGATCGAGAACATCATAGGTATACGATCCCCAGATATTCTTGTCGGCACAGATTGTACTCCGCTCTTGTTGGCAGCAATGCGCGAGTACAGCCTCAATAGCATGAAGATGCTTCTTGATGCGGGAGCAGACCCGAATGTGCACGTCATCATAAGAGATATAGAATTTGAGGGCAAGACGAATGGTAATCGTCAGGCATTTTTGTCGGGAGTGTTCCGCCATATCTGGGATCCTTTTAGCCCAGGCGACAATGAGATCCTAGAACATGCACCCCCCATCGGATTGTTGCTAGAATTTGGATCGCGGCTAGACTTTGATGGGCCAGCGGATAGTCCACTCCAGGAGGCCTGTAAAGCAGCAGAAAAGGGACATTTTGCTTTGTTGGAGATTTTGCTGGGCAACTCAAAGGCAAGGAATGTTGGCGAAAGCCATGTTAATGAGGTAATCTCTGCGTACAAGGAGAAGCCGGAGTACAGTCAGATTCACCAGAGGCTGGAATCCTTTAAGCAAAAGATATTCATTGATTAGTGTTGGACTTTGGCAGACTGAAGCCGTTGGTATTAGTTAGGGGCCGTTGAAGTACTGGCACTTTATCGACGTTATGTAATATACCTATGTATTAGTATAGCAAGCAATAGTATAGCATATTTGACCAGAAGTAGTATTGTTAGACAAGTTCCTTTCACTCCAAACTTACAGAGGGTGTACCTGTTCTCTGCCGAAGACTCTCATGGGTCGGTTGTGAGGACAAAGGAGGTCATGTGACAATGCACGTGCTCATCATGGAGATCGGATTTTCCCGCTAGCCGAATCGCGAATTGCTGCTCCGGCAAAGATTCGTGCCAGCGGCCTCATTTGAGCTCACCCAAGCAACAACCTCATCCACCAGCTCAGCTCATCATGAACTCCTTCCGCGTTGCCCGTGCGGCTCTCCGAGCTCGCCCCTCCGCCATCCGAGTCCCCCTCCAGCGAAGAACCTACGCCGAGGCCGTCCCCGACAAGGCAAGATTCAGCGAACCCCGTGCCCCGGCTACGACTGGGTTTTGCGTACCGAGCCCGACTGACCGTTATCGCAGATCAAGCTGAGCCTTGCCCTCCCTCACCAGGTATGACACCGCCCGCGCGATACCCGGATCGACGAATACGATTGCAATTGGACCCTTACAATGATGGCACCGTCGCCAATTGATTGATGCATGGGAGCTAATTGCCGCACCGCAGTCTATCTACAAGTCCCAGGATGTCGTCCAGGTCAACATCCCCGCCGAGTCTGGAGAGATGGGTGTCCTCGCCAACCACGTTCCTTCCATTGAGCAGCTGAAGCCCGGTCTGGTTGAGGTTGTCGAGGAGTCCGCTGGCTCCAAGCAGTTTTTCCGTACGTCATAAGTTACAGACCCAGATTCCAGATCCAACTGCCCGAGGTCGACAAATCGCTGATGGAAATTTTGTCTTAGTCTCTGGTGGATTCGCTACCGTTCAGCCCAACTCCGTCCTCAGCATCAACGCTGTTGAGGGATACCCCCTCGAGGACTTCAGCGCCGAGGCCATCCGAGCCCAGATCGCTGAGGCCCAGAAGGTTGCCAACGGCAGCGGAAGCGAGCAGGATATTGCCGAGGCCAAGATCGAGCTGGAGGTGGGTTTCAGACGACGACATGCACTTGCAATTGAGTTTACTGACGAGAGAACAGGTTCTCGAGACCCTGTCTGCGCACGTGAAATAAGTGTACAGCGAGTTTGTTGTGACGGAGGCCCTTGTACATCAATATTCTACCCATATTTAGCACGAAAAGCTGTGACAATTGATACCAGTTCTGGTTGTGCTCCTCCTAAATTGCATGGGCCCTTATTCCTCTGTTCAGTGACTCCTTCCTTATCGACCCTCTGTCTTTCAGTGACGTTGATAGGCAATGAATGCAATAGTTAGTAGTTGACCCAGCGCTGTAAGGTATTTCCACAACTTGCAATTGTGAGGTAGGATGGACTTTTCTCTCTCTGCCATTCACCTCACGCTCCGGATTTGTGATTCCTACCTACAACATGCCACCCCTTTCCGCACCTCGCATATTGATACTCTATATCGACTACTCGAACTTCTGGGCTATCGTTGGTCGCTGTCTTCCTGCTTCGTAGTAGTGTCGCATGGCTCCTGGTACAATTAGCAGATATCTTGAATAGCACTCCATCCCTAAACTCAACAACACGTTATGATCCCCCCCGGAGTCGTTGGTGATCGTGTTCGCCAGCTCCAAACACTTACCGAAACGCAAACCGCGAGTGGGCGACCTTCTGACACTTCTAAGCGACCGAGCAGAAGCACTACGATCGGTTAGGGACCAGGAGTGGCCAGTGGGAACAAGAGTCGCACATCGAGAGATACACTTCCGAGACAGATATCCTCAACTCTATCGCAGAAAGATAACCCAAGGTTCAGTGCTGTCAGGGGTTCCAGGGGAAGAAATGGATCAGTGAAACCAAGTGTTGCTGGCTTCCGGCCCAGGACGAGCTATGGACGAACTACCTCGAATCGACCGAGCCAAGCTCTTCGATACTCAGCTAGTACAGACATGCTTCCTTCAGAATCTTTTATGTCCTCATACCTTGACTCGACAAACCGGTCTCGTACTGCAAGCTCCACAGAGAAATGCCAAGATGCGATGGACATCCTTGAGCAGTACGGAATCTCTAGACCCTCGGGATGGTTCTCGGATGGCGATGCAGGCACGCCAGATCAAATCAAACAAACAAAATCGATGTTCTCACAGATCTGTCACTCGTGCGGTAACCCTCTCGCTTTCGAACGGTATTGCTCGCACTGCGGCCATGATTATTGTATGAAATGTACGAGAGAGACCCCTGGACAACCCCTTGGCCACAGGGTTCTCAACAGTTCTATACAGTATCAAGAACACTCCTTCATAGACAAGATACCCGAGCTACCAACGCAAAGTGAACACCCAGAAAGCGAACGTACTCGTACCACGCGGACTACAATCGATACTGCTCATCGTCGTAAGCTCTCAAGGTTCGCATCAGAGCCAGATACACCAAAGACATCCTTTAGAACCAAGACGCAATCTCGCCAAAGACCGAAACCTGATCACAACACCTTGAAGCCCACTCGGAAGAAGACGATTGCGGCACCAACAGAAATCTCTAGCTCCGTGAAGAACAACCCCTTTTTTGTGGCAGACAGGGGAATGAAGAAAGAAGCCTCAGAACCTGAAATCACGACAAGATCGGTGCAAGTGGAACGTAAACCTAGGCCCTCAGACTGTGTACCTAATCGTCTCAAGTCCAGCTCGCCCCGCGTTTCTCACATAGAGGAACAATGCCCCGACCCTGGTTGTAGAGCTACACACGAGGGTCACCATCCAACACGGCATAGCATTGGTTGCGCGACCCGGCGTAGTCTTGGAGTACAAGTGGTTGAAGGCAATGATTTGGATATGATGGATACAAATGAACATAACCCTAGAGAGAAGAAGCACACGCAGTCACTGAGGGATTCACCATCCCGAAGCAAGTTACAGATGAAAATTGACCAACTCTATCATCATGGACAAGATCTCCATCACTCACAGCATATCATGGAGCATTTATCAGCTGGTGTGCAGACTCTCGAGTCTTCTACCGATGAGAAACTCACGAACGGGCAAGACGGGCGCATGCGGGCGGATGGCTACAGGTTGAGGGTACAGAGCCAACCTGGCATTGATCACTCCTTGAGTCGAGACGAGACTGTCACAGTGGCAAAAGACACTATTGAACACAATCTGAACAAAGAACCGGCAGTGCCTGACGAGATTGAGCCACAGCCACCTAATCTTACCGATTATCACAAGGGGGATCGGCATCCGAGCCCAAAGTCTCATGAACCCCATGATGATACCCAACCTAAGGATGCCCATTGGATAAAGCATCCCATCAACAATAACAAGACCCATGACGCGCCGAGAGACTACACGGGAACACTGAACTCGCAAACAGCTAGTGAAAAGCCCGTCTCTCAGTCCAAAGGACCGAAGAAAGGCCTCGACACCTTAACAGAGGCAAATGAAAGGATCGCGCCACAAGCTCAAAACAAGTCCTTGTCAGAGAAAGGTCATGATGCTGATCTAAACTCCAAGAAAAGGATTGGAAAAGTCGATGAACCCGTTCTTGAGAGTAAAACGATGCCCAAACCAGCTCCACGTATCAATAATGACACTGGAAGACCGAAAGCCGAGGCTACCGGTATCTCGTCATAGAGGACGCAGTTAAGGAAGGTCGATAGGTCTTCAGAACAGCCACGAAGTCAGCAACTAACCCCTTCCCATGTCGAGAACTGGAGGCGTGAACTCAGCAGTGTAAATAGTCGTACGCCACTACCTGAAAAAGACAGGAAGGATAGTTGCTTCAACTGCAATCCTACTCAGTCATCGTCACCTAAGCAAACAGAGGGTGGGTTTCAGATCTTTGTGGAAGATGAGTCACATAACAAGACTGAGAATGAATTGAGTGCTGCCTTTGAGTCACCCATGCCTCGACTCAAGGTAACAGACATTGAGCATTCCCTGGCTCGCAAGAGCGTCGAGCAATTGTTGGCCAAGAGTCCACAGCCACAAGAGATAACAGCAGAAGAGCCAAAGAGTACGAGACTCCCGAGCATAACAGAGGATCGATCTCGCAACGACTCTGAAATGTCAACATTGATCTATGACCCTAGGCCTGTGATGCCTTACAACCACATGTGTGCTTAGCGAGCACGCTACATGGACCTCAAGAGCCAAGTTGACGAACTTGGGCTCGAATCAGGTCGCCCGTCGCCAGCCAAACAGGCCCAGGGCGTGTGCTCCCACCCCAATGGCGATGTTGACATTGAGGGCCTCACAGTAGTGATGCATCTCAGAGGCAAGGATGACTTGGTCATCAATACAGACTTGAAAGATGGCCTACAGGAACATATGAGGCCGCGATAGAGCAGAGCTTCGCAAGCATAGGAAGGTTAGAATGGTCAGGATAAACCAGACCGGACGGGACGGAGAAAGTATTGCTTTTTTGATAGTTTATTTGTTATTAACTTCAGTATTGATACACATTGACCTACAAAGTTGGAATCATTGGTCTCCATTGGCCTTGAGGCTTCTTCACAATCACATCGTGACTCGAGCACATGAGAGCAGTTCGTTCGTATGTCAAAAGCCATGAAAGCGCACTGACATCGAGTCAAGGACGCTATCGGCGGATAACAACATCCTTCTGCTCCATCTTTCAACCTCAACGGCGTTACAGTCCAACGTCAGCACCCGTAGCGAAACTCTAGCTGTCAGTAGCAGTCAGCCAACAGGGACGATTCCACGGCTTCCCGGTCTAAGCCCCGGGCCCTACTGCAGCCTCCCCTCTTCCCCGGTTTGCCAGGTGCTGATGCTAAGAGGATGTGCCAGGGGGTGGCCCGGAGCAAAAATCCTCTAGGTTCTGAGAAGCGGTGACAGGGGGGTGTTGGTGTTTTTTTGACTTTTTTTTTTTTTTGGTATGTATGCGTAGGTAGGGCTGGGGTGTTGAACCCAGGGTAAATCGACCTGTTGGTTTTTGACGTGATAGACCCCTATGTAACAAGGACAGGATTTGGAATGTGACTGTTGTGTTGTGAGTGAGGCGAGAACAGGGTGCAACCTAGAACAGGATCGACCTGCGCTGCGTTTTGGCGAGGATGTTTGGAGATAGGATGTTGCCTGTATGACCAACTAGGGGCATACACGAGATGTCAAAAAAGCAGTATGATCTCACTTGGGAGTAGGGATGAAGCGGATTTCGTCATGTGCGAGCGAAACGAACCGTTATAGCAAGACGGAGGGCGTCTGCTGGGGACCAAGTGTGTGTGCTTGTTCTCACATTGGATTCTAACATCAATTCCAGTGCCGCCGTCAGTGAGTGCTTCATTTGAAGCGGTGAGAGAAACAGAGAGAGAGAGACAGGAGCTGAGTTGTCGGTGAAACCCCTTCATTGTCTTTCCTTGCGTGCTGTTAGCGAAAAACCCAACCTCATGCAATGTGTGCTCGCTATGTGCAGGAGAACTTGTAGTACATATGCAGCCGTCAAAGGCACAGATGCCAGCATCGAATTCCAAACTGCATCTGCATCCTTTGCCAGGGGGTCCCATGTTTGCTATACACCTAGCCATCACATATACTTCTCTCATGCACGTAACAACGCAACAGACATGAAAAAAGTTCCGACCACGCAGAGCTTCACAATGTGAGTGAAAGCGGTCAGGGCGTCGAGGGCGACAGCGGTGTAAGGGAGAACTACACGCGAGTCATGCCCTGGAAGTGTTACTCGGTAAACAATACACTTGTGGGAGTTAGTGGACCTTGGATCCGGCAGTTGAGAGAGCTAAGCAGCTCCGTGTCTCACGATACTCCATCCATCGTGCGGCGTTCAATAGTCAGAAAGAGAGGAAGAGAGGAAGAGAAAAGAATGTTGGGTTCGCAAACATCACAAGACCCCCGGATGTGCTCCATGGATCATATGTAGGCAAACATTGGCGAGAGCCACGGTTCACAAGCACTGTGTAGCATCTCAACGAGCAAGCAAACAAGGTTGCTTGCCCAGGAATACGGATATCATGGAACGACCCAAGCGCCAGGGTCATGGTCCGTCCGGGTCCGGGTTCTAAGTTCCGAGCAGGTCCAGAGCTTGAACCACAACGATAGAAAAACAGAAGCGAGGATAGAACATGTTCATAAGAAGATCCGGGCGATGGCAGATAATCAACTTGGAGGGGTACGTGTGATTGTCAAAGCCTCGGGGACCTTTAGTGCGTGTTAATCCAAACCTCGTCAGGCATTGCCAAGGTCTGTGCTTTCGCTGCTCTGTCTCTGCGTCTATAGTCGGGAATGATGAGCTGTAACAAACGACTCGATGCCTGTCAACACCTGTCGCTGTCAACATCGAATTCTATAGCTTGAAATCGTTGAGCCTCAATCCCCGGATTCCGACGTCCACCTTGAACACATGACCACCGTTCTCGCGGCTCGATCCCTCGCCCTCGTTGTCCTCGGCAGTTGTTATGACAAGCTCAGTACCGACAAAGTGCACGCAAGTGGTGTTCTTGGTCGGCACTTTGACCTCTCCAACAATCTTGGCTGTGCTGGGGTCGATTCTAATGACACGACCCTCTCCGTATACAGCTTGCCAAAGGAACCCGTCTACATCTACACGGAACCCGTCGGGCTCGCCTGAACCATCATGGTTGTAGAAAACGCGCTTGTTAGAAATTTCCCCAGACTCGGTATCAAAGTCAAAGGCGTAAATCTCTCTGGCATTTGAGTGTGTAACATACAGTGTCTTTCCATCAGGAGACCAACCTGGTGTGTTGGGGATTGTCATGTTAGGTAGCTTGACCTCTCGTGACTTGGCGTCCATTAGATAGACCGCTCCTAGATCCAATGTATCAGTCTCGATGAACAAGAGATGCAACGTAGAGTAAGTGGACAGGGTCCTGGTGTTGGTGCACCGTTTTGTGTTGGGCAGGGTAGAGTGAGTACCTTCGGGCTGAAAGGGACCGAGTCCAAAGTCCGTCATTGTACCCAGCCAAAATCGACCAAGAGGATCCACGCCGCCATCGTTACTTCGCAAACGCTCATTGGCGGTTTCTTCAAATGGTTGGATAAGTTCATATGTCTTCTTCTTCACGTCGAGAGCAGCCAGCCCATACTTGACGCCAATGGCTATTCGTTCCTGGGGATCAACCCCAGCAATGTTTGCTGTGACAGTAGGGCATACGTCTAGTTGGACTGTTTTAAGAGACGAAGGGCCTTCAGCTACCTTCACATAATGTAGCCTTTTATTGCGGATATCAACAAAGCGCAGATTGCCCGTTGATTCCTCATAGAAAGGTCCTTCGCCCAGCAGACAGTGTGTTTCGAGCCAAGGCTTCTCAACCGTCCATTGCTGAATATGGGCACTCATTGTCAACAGGCTCTGTACGGGTCTGATATCCTGTTAGTTTTTACAGCAGAATCACTTGAAAACAAGGCTTTATACCAATCAGTAACGGCTAATGGCGGGCGGGGTCGAGGTCAGGATGATGCTTTATGATGTATGAGGGGAAATCGAGCGGGCCAGAGCAAGCGAAGTTGAGAGTGGGGAGCTCTCGTAGCGTGTGTTGATATAGAGGGCTATAAAGCATATGCGAGCAGTATCGAATTCAGGGGAGGGAAGAAACAGATTTCAAGTGAAGCACCTCCAAAAGAGAAGACATGTTATTTTGACGCTTTGAATACGGATAAATCCAATGAAAGGCCCCTCATCCGGTTCGGCACGGATGTCGTCGAGTGTGCTCCGAAGCCAACTCCGGGCCCGCCGGGCCTCCGATCCGCGGTCTTATGTATTTCCTTCAAATTGCCATATTCAGACGGCCTGCAGGCATCGATTATATATCTCGCAAAGTACGGATCATGGTCCTTGCTGCAGTGGAATTCCACTTTTCAGTCTCTGGAAGGGCCGTAGTGCATGTATGTCACTGAGATGAACAACATGGAAACGAATATGGATATGGACTCGGCCACACAAGTGGTCCAACCAAAATGTTGGCTTGTTGTGGCGTTGTCTGACCAACACGCCGTAACAGTCGATCTTGCTTGGTGAAAGCCGCGAACCAGACTGTCGGGACGTATGGTGTCGCGCAAGAAACGTAATTGGGCAGCAGAACTCGATTAAATTGTGCACAATCGTGGTGCGCGCTTGCGGCTGTGTGTGTCGGGTCTCAGAGGCGGCCGCAGAATGCATACATAGGTAGTTTGTGTAGGTATTAGACGCGGATTCTCGAGTGCGGCAGCTTGTTTAAATTGCCGCCCGCGCTCATCGCTGGACAGAAGAATGATAAATACTCAGTACGGTGGTGACACCAACCACCGCATCGACCGTTTACTCACTCTTTCTTAGACTCAAGCCTTCGTCCAGCAAGTCTCATTTTTACTGTGGGCTCTGAATCTCTGGTGTTGTTCGTCTTCGAGTTTGCACGTGGGGCATGATCAAGATCGTTATGGCCAACCCCCACGCTCTTCAATACTTGGACCTTTCCCAGGACGAATACCGAATCGCATCCGCACCCCAGTTCGATGGATGACTCCTCGCATCAGAATAGGTAGCTTGGTTGAGAATGTGAGCGAGCATGACCAATGAAAGCCTTCTACTCCAGTCGAAAACTTCCTCACTTCCTCACATATGCACGCCAACAACGTACTGACGTGGTCAACGATCAACTCACCCGATTCGAGCAGAAAACACACATTCGCGAAGCATCGTGAGTTGAAGCCCAAGAACGCCTTCAAAGGCTTGTCAAGTCTTCCCTCCGGTCGCGGAACCATCAGGTCGTCATCGGGCAGCAACACCACCCTCATGGCGAGTAAACTGGAACGTCAAAGGACAACGCATCAAGTACAGCTCAACCCGCAGTTCTCACACATCTGTCGGCCGGTCAAATGTATGCAAGCGAGACACACACTCACACCGCCCTGCTTTGAAGCAGCAAAGATGCTGCAGCAGTAAAAAGGAGTGAAGCGGGCGCGGCACCGTTGGCTGACAGATGCCTACCAACACTGTTACCCGCATTCACTAGCTATGCAGTGTGTGTGTAGTCGTTGGTTAGTGGTGCGTCGATGCTGTGCTGCTGCATGTCGTAGATGCAAGAGTGGGCTTCTGCATGAACCAGGCCCAAGCTACACAACTGACTGTGAACTATTTGGCCTCGGCTATGACACCTCGACCTGCTTGGCCTTCAGTTGTTAGGGTCGTGTGGGTAAACTCCAAGAAATACCACGCTGCCAGCACATCCTGGGCCACGACAAGACGCAACGCACGACAGGGCAGGGCAAATTAGCTGCAGATGCAAATGCATGCCATAGCTGTGTACAGATGTTCGTTGATTAGCTAGAAACGTTTTGCCTGGCTCTTTGACCCCTGGCTGCTTTCCCTGACCGCTCGTGGTCACGGGAGGCGTCTTGGGCCCACGATCGCCGCTGCTAGGCCGGGGATAGTTGTCGAGGCTGAAGGGCCAGAACATTGATCCCCCTCAGGGAGCAAGAAAACATCAGGCCTTGATGTTGGGTGTCAAAATAAACTCAGCAAAGAATTTCCTAAATATATAAAAACTTACCTAAGTCTTTTTATCACTTAGGATTAAGGTCCTAAGTTTTATTTCCTCCCCTCGATCCCCTCTGAACCCTCCGCCCTCCTTCACAGCACAAGCGCGAAGCGGTATAGAGTTTCGGGGAATAAGGCCACGTCTGCAGCGTCTCAGCAAGGGTTATGATGTCGTCGGACTTTAACGAGGTGATAGCTCGAAAGGACAAAAAGGTTGGTCATCGCTCCGAGGCAGGGGTGGGAAGCGCAAAGTAAATGGCGGCGACTTCATGAAATAAACCTAGGATATCATCATTAGCTTTTAGAGATGGGCGGAGGCCATATCATACGAAAGGACTAAAGTAATTACTAGGGACGGGCCGGTGTAAGACTTGGGAGGGCATTAACATGGGACGTCTGACATAGCAATTGACAAACATGCGTTTCGGGGCTGATTGTACATAGAAGCCCATAAGCATCAAGGGATGGGGGCTGATCCTGATCCTGGCGACACACTTGACTTGTTTCATGCCTTCTCCTCAGCCTCGCAGCTTGAGTCGTCCTTGTGGACTCTGCTGGCCAAGTAGCCAAGGCTATATTTGGGTGAGTCCTGCAGGTTGATATTGACGGTAACAGCCAAGCAGATGTCTGTAGTCTGAATGTCGAACTTCATCCGCATCTGTGTATAATTACACAACAATCGGAGGAAGTGATAGGACTTCACCACTAATCCTACCCCCGCACTGATGAGACCGCCACCTCATAAACCTTTCAATTGTTGCGTCTTGTTAATAATCAAGGCTTTCGGCTACCTATTTTTCAACGATATCTCATCCCACCACGATCGACACCATAATCGAATTTGAAGTTGTTGTAGTGTCGCGAAGTTGTGTCGTACGTAGCTATGGCCATGAAAATGAAGGAAAGAAGGAATCATGTCGGAATGGTTAGCATAAGCACCTTTCAATAGCCAGGCTGAAGGATCAGGCTGATGTAGCAAGACTCGAACCAGAGGACTTCGGTTTTGACCAGGGCGCCTTTGGCCAACAGCATTCACGCGATGCCAAACGACTAAACACGCCCCGTCCCGTGCCTCTCAACGCCGCAACGTGCCGCTGAATAGAACTTTGCTGCTTGGTGTGATAGCGTTTCAAGTCAACCTTGGTCCAACATTATTGACGTCTAGTCCGCCTCATTTCGCTTTCGAGGCGGATTCATTTCCTTGGGGAGTCTGAAATAAATCACTACGGGCACAATCACATCGACGTCACACCACCCCTGGGCCGCACGCACCTGTGCGAGGCATGCCAATCTAAGATCAGCTAGGTAAAGTCAGCCATGTCAATATCTCTGATTGTTTGCTTTTTGTCCATTTTCATTACTGGTCAATGGAGTGAGTTATGCATGCTAGTGCTTCATTTGGTGGTCTTGTAATTGGAGGCGAGGGGATAACGGGCATTTTGAATTGTCTGATGGGCTACAAGTTTGTTTTTACCGCGGCAGCGCTGAAAGAGTCTGGCTTAAGCCTGTGGTGACTTGTCGTAATGACCTACCATTCTTTACTGGGGCACGATCTAATCCGCCCGTCCTGCGCGTGACATTATCGATAGGTACGTAATATCGCGTCTGATCGTAGAAGCTTGCTAGACTCCAACCATTGCCCCGGTACGCGCGCCTGTGCCAGTAAGAGCTCCGACATCCACTCAACGCAGATTGGTCCATCCCATTAGAGACAACTGTCATGGATGGTTGCATCTGCACGCTGGCGGGCCTTGCAGCTCTGGGCCAGGACCCCTTCCCCGGTAGAGCCCCCTGGCTATGCAATTCACCGTGACCCGTTAAGAATGCTGTCGTCGTGCGCAATGCCAGTGCGCCGAGGGCCCCTCGTTGCACCCACACCCACCCCTCGGCCAATGTACCGTATATCAACGCTCCAGGGGTTTTGGGGGACGAACATCGTGAGCACGGAACGGTCAACAAATATCAAGAACTTCGCACGGCTTCTACCATGATGGGAAGAAGAGAGTGAAAGCACTCACGGCATTATGAGCGCAGTTTTCGAGACATCCTATAAACGAAGTCCAGGATAGGAAAAGGGCCGTAGACGACTTTTTGTCTGTCGAGACACGAAATGCGTATTGGAATCAGTCTTGGCGATGCGGACAACACTGTGTCGGAGTGTTTATCGTAGAAATAGACAGTCGCAAGAGCCCAGGGGCTTTCCGTCTTTCCGCGCAAGAATTGGTGCATGACCTGGCATGTCGTGGCGTGAGACGCGTACAAGTTTTAGTTAGAACAGTTGAAGTTGAAATCGACGTTTGCTAGGGATAGTGATTGAGATACTCGGAATGGGTTTTCCATGAGTGAATGCATGGAGTGCTAGGCAAGTAGATATTGAAGTGGGTGACGTTGAGGGGAATTGCTAATTACGGCACGACTGTACCTGCTCTTCTCATTTCATTGATGCCTGTACTACCCAAGGTAACGATAGCTCTTGCGTGACTGCCAATTTAGTAGACAGCGGCTGTAGACGAGCTGCCTACCATAAAGGGTTCCTTCCTTCCCTCGACCAAGCTCAAGGGATTGACGATTTGCTTTTCCTGCCAATGGAATCTCTATCTCACATCAGTTGTCGCCGATTGACTCTTCGGCAGATGAATACCTTCGTAGGCATTTTCGCTTTTGATACCATCGTCATCATCAACATGGACCAGCAAATTATTCAACTGAGTCGACTTCTCTTCTTTCACCTCAAGGGGTGTCTCTAAGAGCACATACGTACAGTATGGCCTTGCCTCCATCTGCAGCCCTGCCCTACCTTGGCTTCCAACGTCTCTTTTATGTCT